ATTCTCTTCACCAGGGGTGTGATTTGGATCAGGAGCTGTAGCAGCGGGTGTCTGCCTAGGTCTCTTGGAACCCCTTTTCCTGGTGGGCGTGTCCACCCCCAACTGTGGGCATTCACTAAGGGCTCCCACCTGTGACCTTCTCTGGAGGTAATCCTTGGGTGAATGCAGCCAAGCTGCCTGGGACATGGACATACACACACACATGGACACACACACACACACACACACACACACATTAGCTGGGACAGTAGGTATATTTAAGCCTTATCTCCTGGGCTCAAGACAGGACAGACTCTGCTCTCCTGTTTATCCTCCTAAGCGCCCCTTGGATTAGCCTGTAACCATCTCTTCCCTCTAGAGATATCCTAGCTCCTTCCTCTTTCCTTTCTTGCTTCCTGCATCTCATTTCTAGTTTCTCTTAAAGGCAGTCCCTCTGTAAGCCAAGGCATGGGAAATCTGCCTTAGACTCTGATTCCAGGGCCCCCAACCTAAAACAAGTGACTTAACTTCACTGTGCCTAGTTTCTTTTTCTGGAACGATAGCCACAGAATGCGAAGCACCCAGCAACATCACCAGCCGAAGTGGGTGTCCAGTAAAGGCAGTTGCGCCTGATGTTTCTGCCTTTGCTGCTGCTAGTATTATTAGTCCTTGAAATAGTAGTGGTTGTGTTGAGGTATTAAACTTCTATTTAAAGTTAAATAACAAAGGGTAAATGTCAGATTTCAGAGCAGCCAATTTAAGAATGCCCACTACTGAGCATTTCTGTACATGTTTTTATTATGGTTAACCTGCCTTAAATAGAAATGCTTCTTACACTTAGGTTCAACAGTATTCATTTTTACATGGAATAGTCCGAGGTCATTTGTGTTTGCCGTTCAGTCCAGTGAGGATATTAGACAAATAATCAAATGAATATAATACGAGGAAGGGTGGAAAGGCAAATGACAAGGGTTCAAGATGTATATAAACAAAATAGTGTGTGCTTTCCAAACAAGGACAGGCCGCATTCAGATTGAAGCAGGAGAGAAAGACTCTTAACGGAAGGAAGAATGGGTGAGTGGATGGATGAATGGCTGGCCGGCTGGCTGGCTGAAATTTTTAATAACTTTATTGAGACACAATTTATATTTCACAAAATTTACCCATTTTAAGCATACAAATCAGTGAATTTTAGTAAATTCACCATGTTGTGTAACAATTATACACATCCAGTGTTAGAACATTTCCATTGTCCCAATAGGATCCCTCCAGCCCATTTACAGTTACTCTCCACTCCCATCCACAGCTCCAGGCAACCACGAATCAACTGTCTGTCTTGATAGGTTTTCCCTTGGTGATAACTTCATACAAATGTGTTCATAGACTATGTGACTTTTTGTATTTGGCTTTTTTATTTACTGTTTGAGATCTATTGATGTAGCCTGTGTCAATAATTCATTCTTTTAATTGCTGAATAGTATTCTATTGTATGGATGTCATGCATTTTGTTTAACCATCCTCTTATTGAAGGATATTTGGATTGTTTCTATGTTTTATCTATTTTGTGGGCAAATATTTATGTGGAGATAAATGCATTTTAACAGTTGAATATGAGCTAGCTGTGAAATACTGTGAGTAAGGAATGCAGATGAAAAGCTTGTGCTGTGGTCAAGAAGGAGCAATTACTCATTTTGCAGAAGCAAAGAGCATCATGGAGGCATGGAGGAATATGAAAAGCCATAGAAGCAACAACTTACCAATACACATCAAGAGAAATATGTCACCTCCAACATATTCTACCCAGAAAATATTTCGTACTGAAAACATTTTGAAAAACGTTGGATAGCATATGACCCGCTGGGAAAACAACCATGCTCATTAGCATTTTAAAGGTTCTGAGAAGTTCTGTAGTAAAAATATCAATTTTTAAAATATATTTTAAAACATCTAAATTTCATTTATCCTGGCATTTCACATACATAGACACACAAGTAAGCATGGATTCTGTTTTTATTAATTAACATTATTAATATTTTGTGAGTCCAGTTTTCTATGAACATACTTCGATTAATGCATGTAAAACAGTTACAAGTTTCTGCCTTGAAGGCTGGGATAGGAATTATGAAAAAAAATTACTGTATATAAAAGACAATGTAGACATTTCTAAAATTAATGTAGCTCTTTGTTTTCTCATCAACGTGTAATTCATACTTTTATTAGGGCAAATTGCATTATGTTAGCATTTCAGATACTAAAATGAGAATAACACCACTCTATCCCATTTATCCAAGTTGGTGTTTTACAGACTAATGGTCATATGCCATTACTGGGTTGAGAAGTCATTTTTGTGGGGTCTTATCATATTTAATGAGAGAGAAAAAATATCAGATATGATTTAAGGTAAATATTGTTTCATAAAACTTTTGTTTCAGTTGTGTGTATTTATGTGCGTGTCTGTGTGTTGTCCCCATATGTGGATAGTTAAATAAAAAATGAGTATCATTGCTCTAAATCAAAATTTCCCAAAGTTTAAAGACAATATCATGATGGTGCAAGGTGCTTCTAGGTGATATATGGATAATCATTACAAACACTGTATTTAGTAGGGAGTTTGTAGTACCTCTTTATGGCAAATGATACTTATTTGGAATTTGGTTGTGATAAAATATTTCATTTAAAAATAGTATATTTAAGTGTAAATCGAGTGAATTACTTTAAGAAAAATAACAATAGTATAAATGAAATGTGGACTTTGGTAGAGATATTAAAGGTGGTTGTGAATAACTGAAATTTGGGAAACACATTTTTAACCTTTACCTATCCTGAGAATATCTTTTGCTTATGAAAACTCCTCTGATATTTAAAACATTTTTAGTTGTTTCATGTTTTTTTTTGGTGATCATATTGTTACCTGGGAATCAGCCAGTCTATTTTAGAAGTTAGCCAAGAAAACAATATGCAGTGGTCTTGAACTGAAGGTTTGCTGGTGAAAGGGTCAAGACATGGCTTGAAAACCACTCTTGTACAGAATTTGTTTTCCTTCTTCCTTTGCCAAGGAATCTGCTGAAAGATTGCAGCCTGTGATGAAGGGCCCAGAGCTGTTTCCACATTTCTAGCTCATTAGATGTAATCAACTCAGTTGGCAATGCCAGGGTGTTTCACTTAATCCAATATTCAGATCAGGGGGGAAGTTGCCATATGTACACAGATTACCAATTTTCAAATAATTAGAATAGAAACTCAGTACTCTCCTGACGCTATATCTAATTTAATCTCTCCTTGTTGAATCACAATTGAATCCAGGCTCTCAGAGACTACGGAGAATATCAGTTGGATTTGTACCATATATGTGCAAAAACACCACTTAATCAAGTTGCAGTTTATTGGATGCCAGAGAAGAGTTTACTTGAGCTTAAGTGTGTCTACCACCTTTAAGATGGACCTGTTACTGTTCTGAATTTGACACATTAAGTCAGTGTCTTACATTGGTGCCATGTGTGTCTCCTTTATGTCTGTCTGTGTGAGGGTACTTTGACTACATCAGCAGAAGTAACTGGTTTGTACTTAGTTTGATAGTTTAAGCTATCCCAGAGGATATAAATTGGATCTTATAGAATCAGAGAGATGGTAGGTACGGATTTAGAATTATAGGTGTATTTTCTGTCCTGTGTTTAACTAGATAACAACATAATTACCAGGGCATTCTTGTCCCCAACTCATGTTTAAGTGTCTGTTGTACAAGGAATCCAGACCACTATGGCCAACATGAACTTCTCCTCCTAAGTTCTCCAGAAGTCCTTATTCACACCATTTGTTGGGGATCCCAGGAATAGATTGTTTTACAATGTTCTGATTGCTTTTTATGTCGATTTTAACACCTAACAAATCACCGAGGGCAAAGATTGAGTCATATGTGTGACCTAAGTCTAACTGGTGATTGAGAAATTGATTCTCCCATTCAACAAGTACTTTGTGTAGTTTATTGCAGAGAATGTGGCTTTTTGGGGAAGACGATAAAGGTTTGGGGCAGATGTTATGATATAGCTTATATTTTCAGTGAGTTACTCTAACTGATGTCTTCATGGGGTAGGAGGCAAAGCAGAAGTAAGCAAAATCAGTTTGGAGGCTTTTGCAGTTACCACGGTAAGAAGTGATGGTGGCGTAAACCAGGGTGGCGGAAATCACAGGTGCTTGTTTTATACTTTGCAACGTGCCTGGTATGTTTCTGTCTTCAATATATTATTTAATAAATATGTGGTACTGTATTCCTGTCTGCCTTGTACCTCCATACTTCCCAAACTCTTGACCTTCCAATAAGTATAAAAAGGCTTGTCTCTGCATATTTATAAAGTAGTCTCAATATCCAAGCTGATGGGCAGGGAATGGGGTGCATTAAGTAGTTGCTGAGTTCAGCAGAGTTATTCTTTTGCATCATATGCAGTTGAGTGCATTTTTATTTTGAATAGTTTCATTATATTTTTATCATAGGCAGAGGAAAAAATGGGATGGATATGGGCTTCATTTTCTGCTAATAACAACATCAAAAAGCCTGCTATATTTTGACAAAACTGAGTGACTAGATGCAGAATTTGGCAATCTGCCTGTTAGCACTAGAGACAAATGTGGCAGTGGTTTTGTGCCTTCAATCGCTTTATGCCTATGGGTTCAGTTTGTTGGTGCTAGAAATAATTGTGGAATCAACGCTTTGAAAATTAAAATGCTGCTTTTGTAAGGTGATTTCTTTAACATGGACAAACTTTAATCTGGACATGTCCTCAAAATTCACTTTTGAAAGAATGGGCAAGTAATATTTTACCCATTTTAAAGATGAGGAATCCAAAGCACAAATAGATTACGTGACTTGGCCAAGGTCACAGTGTCCTGACACACTCAGAATCAAAGCTTGATGTCAGCAGAATTTTGTCTGTTATGTCCTCTGCTGTGTCCCCAGTGCCTAGACTGGTGCTGCCTGAATAAATATTTGAAGAGCAAATGACTGAATGTGTGGATAAATGAGTCACAGAACCTAGAGTATAGTAAGGACATAAAATAGAAGGGGCATAATCTGATAAAGGTGTAGAAAGTATGTTCTGCACACCCATAGTGGTGAAAAACTAGAATTAGCCTCTGATACATATGACATTTAAAAAATTATATATGATGAAACAGTAGGCCAATACCACATGATTATTTTTCAACAGGTAAATCCAAAGTCAAATAGTTTTATTTCATATTCACTTTCATCAAAACGGTCAATGAAGTAAAATATAGTAAAATAGAAGTGTGCCTTAAAGTCTGTGACCCTCCCTTGTAACAGAAGAGCACACAGATAAGCTGAAAAACCAAAAACCAGCCACTCAAGACACTCCTTTTGAATTCTTCTCCCTAGAGGCAACGTCTTTGAACCTTTGCACTGTTTCTTCTACTATGGACTTTTGTAATAAACATGTTCTTACTCATATTTCTTGACTGTTGAACTTCAGTTATTACCTATGGTCCTCCTAGTATAGAACATGAGGCTGAAACTCTCTTGCAACACCCCTTTGTCTACATTCAAGGCCTCTCCTCCATTCTTCCAATGTTTTCGCTCAACATTCAAGCAAGGGTTATTTAATACTGTTCAGAGTGCTTCAAGATAGTAGACAATAGTTGCTTTACTTTCTCATTTTCCTTGGAGTTAATAATGGCTTCTTTCTTTTTTAGTTTGCTAAATACTCTATGCAGGTGTAACTTCCCAATCCCAATCTCAGTCTCAAACTGTAATTCTCCTCTCAGTATAGATGACATATTCAGCATTCCCCTGAGTCCATTTTTCCTCCTTGACCCTCTCCTCTTGTTCCGATGTACAGCTTTTATTCTCTCCATCTGCTGTATAAGCCTTTGCTCTAGAGTCTAATGAAGAATTCCCTTGCCTGGAATTCCTTTTGCTTTTTCTTGGGTTGTAGCTCAGGGCCTCTTCTTATTTGCTACTTCATCTAGTTAATGGAGCGAGTCCTCCATCACTTTCTAAGAAAGAAAGACGTATTTTTAAACAGATTTTTCTTTCTTAATTAAAAAAAAAGAATGCCATTTTATGTGACCTATTGTTTGGAATTCTAGGGTGGAGAATTTCCCTTAGAATTTTTAAAACTTTACTTTTTCACTCTTCCAGTATCTTATTTAAAAGTCCACTGTCATTCTTTAAACAGTTTCTTTTTTTCCCCCTCTAGATGCTGTTAGCATTTTATCCTTATCCCTGGCATTCTGAAATTCCAAATCATGTGTCCCTCTGTGGGTTTGTTACCTCTCACTGTTTTGTGCCTTTGGTGGGTCTTTGCAAGCTGAACACCTAAGCTTTCAACTCTAGGGGATATTTTTGTTTGGTTGAAATGTACTTATCCACCATTGATTCCCCTTTATCTTTCTGCAACTTCTCTTAGCCAGATACTGGGTCTTCTGAATTGATCTTGTAATTTTTTAATTGTTTCTCTCCTATTTTCCAGCACTTCTTTTATATCTCTTTATGCAAGAATCTCTCAAATTTATTTTTCTCTTTTTTAGTGGGTTTCTTTTTATGTCTGCTAACACATTTTCTAAAAATTTCCTACCATTTCATTATTCCTCTATTTATTGCTTCTTTTCAATGGCTACTTGCTCTTGTTCCATTTTTGTGACCTTTTTAAAAATTTTATCTGAAGCTATCAAGTATATTTTTAAAATTTATTTTCCTTTGCTCCCTGTACTGAATGTTTCCTCTGAATCCCTTTTATTGCTTGTTTGGCCTCTGCCTGTCCATCCTGGGCTGTCTATGAATATTTCAGATGAGCTTATAACATGCTGATTGCATCACCTGTGGCTGAGCAGACCTTGTGTATCAGTGGTTTTCTCTTTAGCTGCTCAGTTAAAAATTCAGCCATTTCATCAGAAGATCCTAAAATGTTCCTGTCTTTTCTCTGGGGCTAGAACTGATTTCCTATCATTCATCAGTTGGATAATTGGATTAGGCTGTGGGAAACAGAAATCTTAACTCTAGTTGCTTAATCCTATGGGACTTTTTTCCTTCCCTCTCAGTTAAAAAGGGTGAAGGTCTGATCAAGTTCTCTCTTTACCAACATCACACTTAGCGTATGGTTTTTATCACCCACATTTATGACTAATAGTCCCAACATGGTTGCTCCAACTACAATCCCACGTCCAGTTGCAGACAGGAAGGAGAAGAAATATTGAAGGAGGAAAGGATACATTAAAATAAATGAATGAATGAATAAATGAACAAACATGCTAGAAGTCCCTAGAAGACTTCTTTGGCCAAAACCATATCATAAAACCATTTCTAGTTGCAAGGGAGTCTGAGAAGCTAAGGTTTATAGCTGGGCCATTGTCATTCTGAACAAGACCAGGCTTCTGTTAGAAAGGAAGAAAAGGGGAAGGATATTGAATAAGAAAACTAGCAGTGTTCACTACACGGAATAAAATGGATCAAATGCAGTGTCCAAGGTCAGATTGAAGAGCTTCAAACCCAGTACACTGTGTGCACTACTGTTAGGATCAAATGATGCAGAATCTGACTGAAAGGACATGAGTGCGTTCATGTGCTTGCTCTCATACTGAGATGGGGAAGCAGTTATCTGGGCAAGATGCTTCCCTGTGCTCCCCAGCTCTCCCTAGGCTTTGCAAACTCTGCTGTAACTAAACTGTCATTTCCTTAAGTATGGTCGCTGAAACTTATTCATAATTTTAAATTTAGCACCTAATATCTTTCCTAGCCAAGAGTAAGTATTTGAGAAGTATCTAAATGAACACATCACAATATGGCATTTCCATATTCAAAGTTTGTAACTAAATTTCTTATTGTGTAAGTGATAATTGTTTTTTTTTCTTTTTATACTGAGCACTTAAAGAGGAAGGAAGGAAGGAAAAAAAGAAGGAAGGAGAAAATGAGAAAGGGGTGGGGATGTGAGGAAAGAAAGAAGCAGGAAGGAGGAGAATTCTGACCACTAGCAGCCAGCGTGGTTTTATTTAAAAAAGGAAAGTTTAGCATCCCACAACCTTTTGTTGAAAGGCTTTTGTTGAATTGAAGTTGAGGGAAATGCGGGAAAAGTTTATTTAATTCCTGCTAAGGCAGCATTCCCTCTAGTGTGTGAGTGTGCACACTCTGGCATCAGTCTGCCCAGGTACAACTGCAGTTATGCCACTTTCTAGCCTGCGTCCTTAGGCAAATTGCTTAATGTTCTTACCTCTCAGTTTTCTCATCTGTAAAGTGGGGATAATAATAATTCCTGACTCATAACAATTGAATGGAGGAGTAAATGGCCCATATACATGAAGATCTTTGATCAGTAAGTATGTGATAAAAATTAGCTTTTTAAAAAGGTATGGATACATGAATATTGCAATGAGATTACTCAATAAGAAATTTAGCAACTGTGCTCAAAAAGGGATAATTCAAGTGATTGATTAGCTGTAATTAAGATTCCCAGTGACTATCTTCCCTCAGGCATTGTATTAGTTTTCTAGATCTGCATAACCAAGTACCACAAACTGGGTGACTCAAACAGCAGGAATTTATTGTCTCACAGTTCTGGAGGCTAGCCGTCTGAAATTGCAGTGCTAAAGAGTTGATTTGCTTCTGCGGCCTATGAGGTAGAATCTGTTTCTTGCCTCTTTCCTAGCTTCTGGCAGCTTCAGGCCTTCCTTGGCTTGTAGTTGATGTTCTCCACGTGTCTTCACATCATGTTCCCTCCACATGTGTCTATCTCTGTGCCCAAATGTCTTCTCCATAGAAGGACAGTTTTGTTGGATTAGGGTCCACCCTAATGACTTCATCTTAACTTGATCATCAGCAGACTCTATTTCCAAATAGATCACATTCACAAGTACTGGGGGTTAGGACTTCAACATATTGGTGGCCGGGAGGCAATTCAACTCATAACCAGCATGACTCAGATGAGGCCATAGCTAACGTTTTAACATGCAACCCAAGTGTCACTGGGACCTCTGTGGCCTTTGAGAAATGGATGGGGTTGGTAAACCCTAGGCCTCAGAATAATGCCTGTGGGCTCCTCGTGACTTCTGCTCTCCTGGCTCTGTGGATCTCAGGCTATTGTGTCCTTGTGGGCTTTCTTTCCTGATCCAAGATACTGTGGGTTTATGCAATAAACTTCACATTTGCTTATAAAAGACTGTTGAAATCTTTTTTCAAAAAATAAAACCACTGGCACATTTTATATCTGAAATCTTAATTCATATATTAATGTAAAAGAAGTATTTTGATAGACTATAATTAACTGATTGTTGACTTCAGATACGTAATAATTGTAACTTGATAATGAAAGGAATACTAATGACTTTCAGGAAGTAAATACATACCAAGCTCTTAACATTTTATTTAATCCTTACAACAACCCTATGGTACAGATTCTAGGGAAGTGCCGAAGGCTGTTAAGGACTGAGATCCATGCCCATGTGGCTCCAGACCATGAAGCCTCCCAGAGCAGATGTGGAAGGGGGAGCAGAGGAATGGGAGAAGCTTCCCCTCAGAGCCTTCCCCAAGGCCATTAAACTCAAGGTCTCATCATTACCCAGGGCAAGCTCAGCTCCCAGCCTCTGTTCTGTACTTCTTCCAGGGCCCCTTTCAGATCTGTTTATTCTTACATGAAATAACATTTGGAAAAGAAGCATAAACATCTTGGACTTTCCCTGGAAAGGAAAAATTATTTTTCACTCCCAGGATTGTTGGCTTAGGATGAAGACCTGTGTATGTTCACTTGTAAGTGACGCGCTCATTCTGTTTTATAATCCCAGTTTGGAGAGAGTTCTTCCCTGGCACCATAGCTATCACAGCCTTGTGTACTCCTCACCCTTCCTTCACTGCTGGTCTCCAGAGAAGCTAAGGGACAGATGGGAGGCAGTTGTACCAACCTCTCCAGCTTCCTGAGGATCTTGGCGGAGGGTGGCTGTGTGCTGTTCATGGTGATTACTACTTTCCTGGGGTAGTGGGCTGCCCCATTTGGGTTGTGTGTAGTGGCACTGTTCACAAATGATGTGGGGAGAGGGTCAACAGCCATAAAGTCATTCTGCTCCCTTGTGCGTCAAGCGGAGATTAAGGCACTTAGCATTCTACAAAGTTTATGAAAAATGCACACCCCTGAATTATCTTTCCTCACAACAGGACGGAGAAGGAGACAAGTTGGATGGTGGAAACATCAGAGAGGCTGGAGTCTTAATCTTGTCCCAGCCATGCATTACTTGTCAAGTTGTACTAGAGTTACCTTCTCTTAGCGCCTCTTAGCTTTAAAGAGAATAACAACTTGTGACCTCCCACAAGGTTAGTGAGAGGATTGCATGA